AGAGATAAGGCAATATCTTTGCTTCAGTGAAAATAAAGGTGTCACTATTGTGTTTAATGTCTTTTGGTTTCTAGTTCATGGGATTTTGATATCTTAAGGAAAGTTTACTGTCCTCTATAAAACTGAACAGAACATAATTTTTAAAAGTAATAAGAAAGTAGAGAGGAAAAGGGATTCCAAATGAGTTAAAGGAAATGATTAGAGAATGGGAAAGTAGGATTAAGAGAGGCATTGCTTTCTTATGGCTTCTGCCCTATTTGGCTTGTTCTTATCTTTAAATACTATGGTTGAAGGAGGTAATTGGATTTATGAAACTTTGATAAGCAACCCTTGTTAATTTTAGACTTTCACTGCTTCTAAAAGGTACAATGCATTTGTGTATAGATGAGAAATGTGATATGTGATATATGTATATATATATGTATGTGATATATGTATCTATCTATCTATCTATCTATATATAATACGAACAGTACATTCTGCAGTCAATTAACAGGATAAAGTATACCATAAGAGGTCTTTGGCACAAGACTGAGTATAAATAATACACTTTGAAAGGTACTTCAAAACCAGAATATTTTTGTTTTAAGCCTGTATTAATATCTACATATATATTAACTACATATATGTATATTAATATTTATATATGTCTCTCTATATATGTATCTTAGAGAATTGATTGACCTTTACTCAAGAGAATGCCTATATAGTTTACACTTCTTATATAACTGGGAGAGAAGAGTAAAACAAAAGGTCAATATTGTTCAATACTAAGGCTAACAATAACATAGTTTACACCTGTATCTCTAACACCTGTGTAAAGAGACAAACATAAACATTGCAAATATTGCAAAACATTTCAAAATGTAAGTCCTTGTGTACCTCTTACCATTCACTCTACTGAATCTTCAGTGCTGCCTGGAATATAGTATTTATCATTCGCATGCATCTATCTATACTTTTACTGTACTCTTAAGCCTAAAATATCATTGTTTTGCAATTTTTAATACTATAATGATTAATTAATTCAAAAATTTGTATGTACTTTTGAAACTCTCCTGAATTTGTGAGCTCCAGAAATTCTAATTCATAAAAGTATAATTCCTATTGTATGAATATATGTTGCTATTTACCCATTTTTTTTCTTTTTTCCTCTATTTTATTAAAATTGATATGTGACACTATATTGGGTAAATTTTATGCATAAAATATGGTGATTTGAAGCATGTACATATTTTCCTGAACTTCTGATGCTTATATCCCAATAAATCTATCAGAAATTAAAAATATCAAAAGTTGAAGACATTTTATGCCCAAATATCATTTCTCCTAACCTTTCTTAAATATTAATCTACAGTGAGGAAAAATCATCTAATAAAAATCCATGTCATGATAAAGTATTGACTATCTCTTGCAATTTATTGATGTTGAACTGAAAGTAAAAAATTCTGTATAGTATTGGTTATTTGCCCTTTGTGATCAGGTGATCATTAGGGCACTGAAACTCAATGCCACTCTCCAACATCACAATCTTTTTCTCAGCTTTTGATGATGTTCAAAGTCTTGCACTATAAATGAATTGGAAACATTGAGGGTGCTTAATCACTTAATCACTTAACTTCCCGTTAGTCGGCGATTTGCTCGAGCGGGTGCCAGTAACGTCTCCATTTGTCCCTGTCGCGTGCAGTGTAGCCCAATGGCATCTGTTCGCTCCGGGAACATGAAGAGCCTCAAACCGATCGTTCATGATCTTGACGAAGAAGTCTGACCATCTGGTAGGTGGGCGGCCACGCGGTCTTTTGACATCCCGTGGAATCCAGTCGGTAACAGCTCTAGTCCAGCTGTTGTCTTTAAATCTCATTACGTGACCAGCCCATCTTATTTTTGACACCTTGGCAAATGAGACAGCATCTCTGATTCTTGATCGTCGAGCGGCACAAATGCTGGCCAACTTTGACCGTGAGTGTGGAAAGGTAGGACTACAGCTGAATCTTACGAAGACAATGTTTATGAGAAACAGCCTCGTTCCTGACACCCCATTTGCTCTCAACGGAACGACCAGCAAAACATGAATTAATTCCAGCCCTTTGAGCCATCTCCTGAGACTGGGAATTCTATTAAACAGTTTCTGTCTCTTCTGTCTCTGCTATGCCCCCCACGTTATGGATATACCAGAGGCCCTTGACCCCTGTGGCATAGCTATATATTCAAACCACAGAGTCAACATCACTGAGAACATAAGACCCAAATAACAACAACCAAACTTTAAAATGTGCCTGTCAAAAGGGCAGACTGGGGGTGGGGGGTGGGGATGAGAATACTGGAGGAGGGAAGATGACAGTAGTGGTGGGATTGGTGGCCAAGCATTTTTCTAAACCTCAACTATCAATAGCTTTGTAAATCACAGTTCTTTAATAAAACAGAGTTTCTTAAAAGGTTTCTTCAAAGATATTTCCTGTGTCCCATGTGGAAAAAGGCGCTCAATGTTTGTAGGAATCGAGTTCACTTACAACTGTACAGCAGACAAAATCAAGATTTTTGGAATGGAAATTGAGAAAATCCAATACATGTTTATACTCTTACCCTCAAACCATAGTAAAAGCCCCCAAACAAAACAAACTCCAAGGAATAATAAAATGACCAGCTAACTTTAAACAATGGAGCATTCTCATTAAAGAATTACAATTTGTAATGACTAATGAGAATTAATCATGGGCTTTGGCAAAAATGGGAGATGTTAAGTGCAAACCAGTTAATAATTCCAACTGCCATGGGAATTAATGATTCCCTAACCTTGTAAAAATAATATATAAAACATGAATTTGATGACCTCCAAGTTACCCAAGCGGTAAAGTGAACTTTAATAAGTAATTATGGTATGATCATTTAAAACAATTCTTTACTGCTAAATAGACTTTTTGGTCATTTTTGTGAAGGTCTAGTATTCTAACTTGCCCTGGTAATACATTTGGATCAACCCAGTTTTGGAGGTGAAGCCATATTGAAACTTATAAATGGAATAACACAAAACATTGTTCTAAACATTTTATTCTTAGAAAATATTCTTAGAATATTCTTATTCTTTGCTTAGTTATTCTTTGCTTCTAAGAATAAGTAATAGTTGATTAAAAATCCAAATAGAATACAAAACGTATATTCAATTTATTTTTACTGTAGGCAAAACAATAAGACTTTTTTGATGGAAAAAATTCATAAATGAAGAATTTAGAACGACTTTGATTAAATAAAGAAGCTTTATACTGCCCCCTGCTGTCAGGTTCTGTAAACAGTGTCCCAAAAGAAAAAGCAAGTGGAGGTGAAAATTGAATGAAGGTGGTGGTGGGGGGAGGGGGGGTGCAAAATTCCTTGCCCCTAATTACATTTCTTTGGAGAGTAATGTTAATGCTCCCTTCATCTTTGTGAGGTAATAATAATTTGGCTGTCTAAGAATCCAATTCTAGCAAAAAAAAAGTGAGTTTGTGGCTTATAAAACACTGTTAATTAAAGTACCTCCTTTAGCCAATGGTGTCTACCATCATAAACACAAATTTCACCATTTAGAACATGCCTCTTACATTTACACAATTTAAGTAAAAGATTCTCAACATTAATAAATGTAGAGCTTCCAAAATAAGTGAAGTTCTAGTGTATGATATAGAAATAACAAAATATTATTTTAATTTGGAGCACAAAATTAGGAAATGAGAAATATTTAATAAACAAGCCATAATGTAAATTCAGAAAATTTGAGATACACGACTCTGCTTGTTCACATATTATTTCTTTAGTTTTCATAAAGTAGAATGAGACAGGTATTAAACCCCCATTTCCTAGATAAAGTACTAAACCACAGAAACTTGCCTAAGAGACACAGCTGGCAAATAAGGAGTCATAATTGGAAACATGCAGTCTGACTTCAAGGTCAAACCAATTATACTTTTTGCAAAGATGGTGTAAATTCAACAATTATAGAGGAAGCATTTACAGTGTTTATTAGTGTTTATTGATGCCCACCATCTGCATACTTATTATTATTATTACTACTATTATTATTGTAGCAATAGTAGTAGTAATCATAGGCAAGTGGTCATAATTTATACATGTGGAACAGACTTTGTAGCACTCTGGATAATCCTCTCTTGGAAAAGTTCTAACTCCCTTGATTGCATCATCTGGAAGCAAGGACGGGTGAAGTAGATGCAATTTAGCCTGTATGAGTCCAGTGTTTCTCAAACCTTTTCTTACCTTGGTTCACTTCTAGTCTGTTTACTCCCGATGGGTCGCCTGTGCTATCACTTGGCCCTAGTCTCCAGCTGTGGTACCCCTTTTACGCATTTTCATTCACCTTTGTCTCCCTTGGGTATCAGGAGGCCCATAGGAAGCATCTCCACACGCAACATCCATAGAAACTGCATCAATCCCCACTCTCTCAAGCAAGTGTTAGTCTTACAAGTTGTTTTTTCGCTTGGCTTTGGAATCCCACCTGGATGCTCACTCCTAGTTCTGTGCTCAGGGATCCTCCAGGGCACTTGGAGAAATCATATGTGGTGCTGAAGATGCCACCAGGGTCAAAAACCACAAGACAAGTAAGTGCCATAACCTTTGTACTCTTTCAGCCCATTTCTGGTGGGTCACTATCCACCCAAATATTTCCTTTCTGAACTGCCAGAAACGTCTGCTTCTAGCCACACATTGTGAGTGGCTCCAATTCAAGCCATGCACATGCTTTCACAGTACCTTGAACCAACTGGGAGCACATTTAAAGATTTCCTGGCAGTGGTATCACTCCAGAGTCCTACAGACAAAGCTGCCATGTGCTTCTCCCAAGCCTATTGGGTTCTGGGCTCACTCCCTCACTCAGATGGGCAGTTCCAGAATGCTGATCCCTAGCAGGTGTTGGAAAACACCACAGCAGGCTCCAGAGGGCGGACCCGAGGAGGGACTATGGTCTCCCCACCACCTGTGAAGTCAAACTGAAAGCCAAGCCCCCAAAGGCTTACCTGACCCGGGGAGCTGGGCTGCCAGTGACGCGACATTCCAAGTAGACTTGACTCCCTTCCTGCACTTCTTGGCTCCTCAGCTTCTGGATGAACCGGGGCGCGGATGGGAGCTGCAGGGGCTGCATCTGGGCCTGCGGGAGTGATGCACTGGGGCTTGGTGGCCCCGCCGGGGCCTGCTCGGCCTGGTGGAAGCAGGGAGTGGCCTCAGCCACCGCCTTGGCCTCGGCTTCCAGGTCCTGCTGCTCCTGCGTGGGGCTCTGGCTGGCCAAGGCGCTCCTCAGGGCCGAGGGCTGATTTCTGGGAGACAGGTACCCGCTGTCCGGGGAGGAAGACTCCCCGTTGGGGCTTCTATTTCTCGGCTTGGCCGCTTCTCTGAAGATGGATGTCAACTCCTCGATGAAATTGGCCGCCTTGTCGCACAGCTGGCTCTGGGGACCAGGTTTCCCCGGGCAGGCCTGCGCGGGCCTGGCGCTGGCCGGGGCAGCGTTGGCACCGTGCTTGTCCGCCTTCCGCAGGCTCCGGATGTAGCTGGGGCTGGCGAGCAGCGGGGACAGGGCAGAGTTCCTCTTGCACAGGTGAGGGGAGCTGCTCCCCGTTTGTTCTCTGGGCAGAGGCTGCCCGGGGGTGGGACCGGGGTCCCGCTCTGTCCCCGCAGACGCCGGCTCAGCCAGCGTGGACGCCTGGCCCGAGGGATTGTCACAGAGACTGCCAGGAGAAGGGCTGAGAATCTGCGAGATCTCCTTTTCCGAGTCCCCGTCTTCAGCCTCTGAGTTGACTATGGCTCGGCGGGCCAGGTCAAGACTCTTGTTTATCTCTTCCTGGCTGAGGAAAGCAGAGAGCTGGGGGAAGAAGTCCGTGCTCTTGCTGGCTTCCTGCATGTCCGACTGGGAGTCGTAGAAGGAGTCGTGGGAGGAAGCTTCTGACATAGCTGACGGGTCTTCTCGCACTGCGGCCGCTCGCAACAGGATGGCTGGGCCCTGGGAACCTGCACACTTCACGGTCTGCAAGACAAGGTAGACAGAGTGGGCACGGGGGTGATGATTCCTGCCACCTATTTCTCTGTTGAGCTGTATCTACCATAACTAACCTGCAAGCTGGGAGAAACATGAAGGGTACACACGTTATTCTTGCTTTTTTTGTGTATATTATTATTATTATTATTATTATTATTATTTGTGGTTGCCAGGGCTTGAAGCTAGGATCTCACCCAGGCAAGGTAAACATTTTTTTTCCTTTTTGGGTCACACCTGGCGATGCACAGGGGTTACTCCTGGCTCTGCACTCAGGAGTTACTCCAGGCGGTGCTCAGGGGACCATATGGGATGCTGGGAATCGAACCCGGCTTGGCCATGTGCAAGGCAAAGGCTCTACTCGCTGTGCTATCTCTCCAGCCCCAAGGTAAACATTTTTTTGCTTTTATGAATGCACGCTTATCCCTTCCCTATCTAAGAAGACACCTCAAGTTGATTTGTGCTTATCACCCCAGAAAAATGTGCATCTGAGATAATGTGTGTGTCAGTGGTTCCAGTGGTAGTAGTAGTAGTAGTAATAGTAGTAGTAGTAGTAGTAATAGTAGTGTGTACTGTAGTAGTAATAGTGTGTGTGCTGTAATAACGATAGTAGTATAGTAGTGTGTATGCTGTAGTAATAGTAATAGTGGTAGTAGTATATGTGTGTGTGCACTGTAGTGTGTGTGTGCAGTAATAACAATAGTAGCAGTAGTGTGTGTATGCTGTAGTGTTAGTAGTAGTAGTAGTAGTAGTATATGTGTGAACGAATGTTATAGTAGTAATAGTGAGTATTCTGTAATAACAGTATAAGTGTGTGTGTATGCTCTAGTAGTAGTAATAGTGGTAGTAGTATATGTGTGTGCTCTGTAGTGGTAATAGTGTCCGTGCTATAATAACAATAGTAGTAGTGGTGTGTGTTGTGTGTGCTGTAGTAATAGTAGTAGTAGTAGTAGTATATGTGTGTGCATGCTATAGTAGTAATAGTGTGTGTGTGCTGTAATAACAGTAGTAGCATTATATGTGCTTTAGTAATAGTAATAGTAGTAGTAGTAGTAGTAGTAGTAGTAGTGTGTGTGTGTGTGTGTGTGTGTGTGTGTGTGTTATGGGGAGGTTCTGAACCCCTGGAGCCTGAGCTGAAATAAATGAGATGGAAAATGCACTCATGGATAAATATTAGATGTTTAGTGATGTTTTTACATAATCAGCAATATGCCCTGGGAACTTAATTTTTGTGTATATCAATTGGACTATGGTAAAATAGGTTTTAAATTGATGAGTAAAATAATAATCCTGGCCTATGTTGAATAAAACAGTGTTCTATCAGGGCCTCGTTTCCTTATAAGGTGCTTTGCTTGAAGTCACATTTTCCAAGAAACTATGAACAACATCGAGTGAGGGTTCAATACACCACGTCCTGTGGTATCCCTGCCAACAACTGCGCCACAAGTATTTTTGCCACCAAATTAATTGCCTGCAAGGCAATGTTGCTGTAAAGGAGAAAAAAGTGGTTGGCAGTTTGAGTTCATTTCTTCTTTGACAAATTAATCAGTTGCCTTCAGCTGGCTTTATTTAATGTATTTAAGCTGGTTGTCAGTTTGATTTTGTTTCTCTGTGATGAAGTAAGAAACAAAATCTCTGCAAATTGAAGTTATCATTTTCTAGTTTAGTAGTAAGTGATCTGATTTTTATGCTTTATTATATACTTTTGCAATATCTTTGTTCAATATTTTAAAACTTTCATTTAAATTTTTATATTATTGACCTCATTTACAATGTTCATCTCCCTTTAAATATCTTTACTCTTTTTTTAACATTTGGTTTTGTTTCTTTGGTCCATACCTTTGGTTTTGTTTACTTGGGCCATCCTGCTTGGAATCTAGTCTGTTCTGTAGCCAGGGGTTGCTACTGGTGGTACTAGGGGCATGAGGTGGAGGAACAGTGTGGGAAGACTGTGCTCAGCCTATTGAGCTATTGCTCCCACCCTGATTGTCCCTATTCTTTTTTTGTTTTCTTCTATGGTACAACTGCTTTACAGCCAACTACTTGCAACAAAAACACTTATGGCAAAGACCCTTTTGGTCAAACCATCTAGAGTCCTGTACTATCCCCGCCCCCACCACACATACCTCTCTGAGAGTGAGATTAATTAATGTTGTAGGTATGCAACTTATTGGTATTTTTACTAAATTAAGTTTACTCACCCACCCAAGCCACAACTTTTAAATTCCAATTTTCATTTGTTTTAGGTTTTAATACAATATGTGAAAGCTTACTTGTCCTTGTCTCTTTTATCCTGTTTATTCACATTCTTGTCCTTTCCTTTTATCCTGTTTATTCACATTCATTTATTCAAACCTCAATTCCCCTCATAGTTAATTATTCTTCTCATAGTTAGCTGCAGAAGTGCAGTTGTATTGGCAAAATTTCCATTTAGGGTCAGATGACAAATAGATTTGGCTTTATGGGCTATTTTCATCTCCATTATGATTATTCATCCTTGCACTGTGGCAGGGAACCAGCCATAGAAAGTAACACTCAAATATAATGTCTTTGCCTATAAAAATTTTATGGATGTACTTGGTAATTTTACATGTAAATTTTTTTTGAAAAATAGTTTTTAAGCAACTATTTTAAAAATAGTTTTTAAGCAACACTGAAAATATGTAAAAAACATTTCTTGGATGCTGTTTACGCACAAATAGGCCATGGGATAGATTTTCAGCCAAAGGCTAAGCTGACTTAACTCTTTATCAGATTGAGAGCATGCTCCTTACATTCAAGGAGTTGAAAGTCCCATGGTTGTGATTTCCTGGCACTGCCATTGACATAAAAGTAAGTCACTTGGGTGGCTAAGCAGGAAAGGGACATTAGTGCAGAATATAAAATTTGATATGCTATCAGAAGGAAATGAAAATAAACTTAGTTGTTATGATAACACATTCCAAATCTCAAGGACATACTAGAGAACTGTATGACCTTCAGAGGAAATTTACGTGAATAAATCTCCAGCCTTAAGTCAAAAGTGTTTCATTCTTAAGATGTTTAAGGAAAGATCTAGAGAACTCAGAAGGTATTTTGGGAGCCAGATACAGGATCCAAAGTGCTTGTCTTGCATGTAGCTTATCTGGATTCAATCCCCAGCACTGCGTATGGTGCCCTGAGAACCTTAAAAAGTGATCCCTGAGAACAGAGCCCAATTATTGTTGGATATAGCCCCCCAAACAGAAGCAAAACAGAAGCTATTTTTGTCTAGAAACCAATGAAAGAAACTTGTTGGATATTATTGGAAAGTTCAGTTTGATCAGCTGGGTCACAAATAAATATGGTAAAACATTCATTCTATACAGGTAAGTACTTCTAGTGAGGGCAGAATTGCACCACTTTTTGAGAAGAGATGTCTCGTAAGGGGATTTTGTTTAGAGTTATGATATCTTATTTTCTTCAGTAAAATGTACTTTTTATTGATATGACCAAAGCTAGCTGCATTTTCTTTTGACCCCTCTATGTCTCTAATTTCAAAGAGCATTCTGCAAGTGTTGAGAGTAATTTCAGAAATTCATCTCAATGATCTCTTCCCATTTAGGATATGTTTACGGAGACTTTGAATTCCATTGATGACATGTGCCCAGAGATCATAAAGATCGATGTTAACCTACCATAGCTTATTTTTTATTTAGCTTGGAGGGAGCACTCCTAAGCAGTGTTCACAAGGCTCAGAAACCACTCCTGGCAATATCCAACCAACCAGGCTGCTGAAACTTAGTGGTGTTGGGGGCCTAAGAGCTACACCTGATCATCTGGTATTAATGCAGGTGGCATTAGTGCAGGTGAGGCATGCAGTGCCAGGGACTGAATCCAGAGACTTGAAGATGCCAGCATGCATTCCAATTATTTGAGCAATATCTCCAGTCATTATCTTCTTTAGTTGAATCTTGTATTTGTGTCTTAGATGTCTTGAAAAATTACTCACTTGTTATACCTGAATTATTAGATTCTTCATGTTCTTGTCCTATTCTCCCTATTAAGCCACATTTTTCATGGTTCTCCAGGTAAGTGTTGTAAATCCTTGAATGGCTCATTATTGTGTCCTTTTTCAACTGAGGTCTTGCTCTAAGTCTTTTTGCCTATTTGTGCTCCAAAATAGAACCATCCTGATTCCTCATAGATTATTTAAATATAGTCATATATGGAGAAAAGTGTATTCATATACCAAATAAAAATTGAATAGATTTTGCTAATGAAACAACGGTTGTTAGAACACAAATTTGAAAAGTCTAAATTGTGGAAAAATATAACAGGTATCATGTAAACATACCCAAAATTGTATCGAACAAGTGTGGAATCCAGTGGTGTTTTTAATTTGCTTGTTAGAATAGGGCAAGAGTTATATGGCTCAATGTTAAGTTAATGAAATTAGTCAATAGAGAGGAAGCTAAAAATTCATGTTTTGAAAGGTGAAGACATATAGACCAATTCTTCAGTGATGTGAAATGGGCTAGTTATTAGGGCACAAATGGAAAATTCAGCTTCTAGTCAAAGGGACACAATTCTTCCATTGTTAAAAGAGAGAAGAAATAAAGTGAGTGTGTGTGTGTGAACGAGATAGTGAGAGAAGAAAGAGAAGGAAGAGGAAGAAGAGGAGAAGGACAGAAAGAAGTAGGATGGGAAAAGAGAGAAATCTTATTAGGACAAGAGACCATTTGAAATACCTATTGTAGACAAAGGAATTAACATAGGAAGAAAGGGTGATGACCCAGGTGTTGTTGAAGTTAGATCTGTCGTAGAGCATTATTAATCTTTGATTGTGCATATCTCCCCAGCAGAGCTCAACTAAGTGAAGAAGTGGCTGTAGATGAACCTGGTTTTGGTGCACAGGTGAAAGGTAAAAAGATAAGGTTGTTGAGAAATTGGCAAGA